AGCAAATCCCCCTTGACACTCATCAACCAATAAATGCTACTCTAGCCCTTGAGTTATGAATTTATGATACTAAAAGCTAATAACTTGAAAAGTAACCCACTTTTCTTATGCTTCCTAGAAACAACCAGAGGATAATAGACTCTTAAAAAAAGGTTAAATATTTTATATTTACAAACACAATGAAGTTAACTCCTTTGTAATGCCATAGACATGAAAGTGTCAACACTAAATATTTATTCTTTTTACAGTTTTATATTCATTTTTATCTTTGTATTTTTGCCTCATTGTTCTTAATATACATACTCTATATACACATATAATAAATCTTTTTATGTTTTCCATTTATTCTATTTCTATAAAAATGTTATTTTTATTTCTTTATTTTCTAAACTTTGCCAGGCTCAAACATATATGAATCACACAAATAAACTAAAAAATCTAAAACCCATAGATTAACCCAAAAGCAAAAGAATTAAACCTTACCTAGACTGGGCTTGAACCAAGCTTGAGACTACTGGGCTTTGAAGACTTGCAGGCCTACCTCTGTGTACTACACGGATCTAGCCTTTTTCCTTCAATTCACTTCACAAGCCTCCAGCTGTGCTCTATTCTTTAAACGGCCCTGCTATATGATGAAGAAACCTTTGTCAACAATCCTAGTTTCCCATCTTCTTCAACGTTTCCTTTCTTCAGAAATAGTGTCTACAATAATTAGATAAAGAAGAAGATATTTACTCAAATTCATGAAAAAACTTGCTATTATGATGATTTAATATATAAATATGTAACGTATGAGCATCTAGCTTAGTAATGGGTGTATTTTGAATTTTCTGAAAATTATAAATGATTTTACTAATGGTAATTAAATATATGTTGAAATCTATAAATGTACTTAAAGAATGATATATTTCAGAGTAAAATCATAATACAACTTACAAAGGTGTGTACAGCTCAGAGTAAACAAAAAACAATTGTTGGTACCTACCTAAGAAATAGCTTGGAACATGAACACTAGTGGTAGCAAGTATTTATTTGATCATTTTTTCAACATTTTCAGGTTTGTCTTTTCCCTTTTTCTTTTTGTTCAATAAAAATTTTATGTGCATACAATGATTTCTAGTTATATAGTAAATTTGTCGCTGGGTGTGCAATGCTCTTTCTCAAGGACAAAGAGAGAAGAAAACACAGACTTAGAGTGATCTAAAACAGTTTTCTTTTTTTCTCTTTTAATTAAATGTTGAGGTCTAATTTCTTCTTTATTTTTAATTAAATGATCCCATCAAGTTTATCATAAATATGAGTTTTAATTTAGCTACAGGTCACATGCAACATTTATGCTACATGTCGATTGTTGTTGATATTAATTCTATGTGTCAACATGCACTCATTTCTGTAATATATGTTTTTATATTTATCCAACACAGGTCCTGAAGGCTTTACAATTGATAAAGAAAACTTTAAATAAACTTTTGACCCAAATTCTTAGATTTCTAGCAAAATAAAGAATTAATAGAAGCCTTACCTAAGAAATCAAAAATCACATACAACTTTGTTTTTTTTCGTTTCTCTAGTCAGTAGTTCTTGGATAAAACTTGCAACTATTAACTTAAGGAAAGATAATATAAGACTTAATCATAGCCTCCCTAGTTTTAATAATGTCATAACTTGGTCTGAATAAAATAAAGACTAGTTCCTTGGAATTAATACTTTATTGTCTAAAACATGGTGTTTGAACAATCACTTTATCATGAGAAAAACTGGCTCATAAACAACCAAATAGAATGGAGTCCCTTCAGCATGCGGCTTGTATGTTAGCCAACAACAGCCAAGTTGTCATGAACAATCTTAATAAGGAAATGAAGCTGATATCACTAATATATCTTAGAGATCCAAAAACCACAAAAGGTTTCACAAGACATCACTTACCACTCCAAGTAAAGAGAGAATATGGACAGTGTCAATAGAGGAAGCTCCAAACAGAACAGCACATAACATTGGCATATGATCAATCAAGTGATCCATAAGCAAGAGACACAAGAGGAGAAAGAAGTTTGACAACAAAGTGTGCCACATGTTCTTGCCAAAGATAAGTAAATTTTCCTTTTGAGGAAAAATAAGGCATCGAAAAGCACAAAAAGGGTGAAATAAAGTGCTCTATGCCCTTATCTCCCCATGATTCAAGTATGAAACAAGATAAATGTGGGGCTTCTAGTGACAAACAAATTCTAGTTCATGCCCATTTCAAATAAATAAAATTGAAAAGATAGCAAGTGGCCTTTCTTTGGTGGCCCTCTTCAACTCATCAACAAATTCAAGCAACAGAATTAGAGTTTTGAACAACTATAGTAGGTAAATTCATGAAAAACATTTTAAGCCATAATAAGTAGGTAAGAAAACTTTTGAAACAACCAACTTTAACTTTTTTAAAATAGTATGAAGTATGGACATGGTACCTAAACATTCTATCCATAGCTAAGGAACACACCATATAGAATCTTTGCAATTGCTAACTTCTCCTCAACTAACCCATTCAATGCAATGTGATATAGTTTCTCTATCTTAGCTAAACTTAAACAAAAGAGCCTTGGAGAAAATCAAATTAATGAATTTTCCAACCTGGAGCTAACTATAAAATTCTCATTATACTTGGAAGCAAAAGTTGTTAAAAAAGAATTTACTAGATGACCATTGAGTGGAGCTCTTTCCATAAAACTAAACCAAGAAGATTTCTTAACTAGTGATAATTCAGATGAAGCCATTAAAGAAGAGACATAACCAAGCCAAAAATATGCTGATGAGTCACTTAAATTTCTTGCACTGCAGGCTTCCACAATGAGGTGCCTCATGTTGCCACCTAAAAATAAAGCACAGAGATAAGTATAGAAAGCACCAAGGAAATAAAAGCAAATAGACAATAGAATAAACCCAAATGACCTTAGTCATAATCAGTTGTGGGAGTATAATTACATGTACAAATTCAAATTACCTGTATTTAAGCAAGTTTCAATAGGACTACCGCTATCTAAACCATCCCTATGATTCTTTAAAAAAAAAAGCTTACAGCTTTTGCAGCAGTAGTATTAACTACAGCTATAATGGATGTTAAAGGGCATAGAAGCCCAGAAAAGTTTCCAAGTAGCTAGAAAGCAAAAATCAATCCCCATTTTCTTGCATCACAGCCTTTTCCACCCATTCAATCTTCATACCCAGATTCTTAGGAAGAAAAAGATTGCAATTTGGCCTCAACCTTAAAGACATTAACAATTGCCAAGGGCACAATAGACAAAATGATGCAAAGACGAGCCTCAAGATGTGGAATAGGGCCCTCCAAGGAATCACACTCCTAAAATGAAGAAAGTGGCAGAAAATGAAATTAAAATTTGCACATGTTTTTCTTTGTAAAAGTGATCATTGTAATGGCTAATCTGAACTCATTGCACAAGCCAAAGGAAAGCCAAAGTGCTAGGAAAGTCTCTTCTAACTTGCTCTGTTAAATTTTCAGAGTGTATAAATTGTTTATGCAAATACAACACCACTTGCAAATGCAGAACATATTACCTTTCTTTATTCAATACATGGAAAAAGAAAAAATTTAACAAGAAAACACCCATCTACGTAGATTGATATTTACAAAACATGTGCATATGCATGTTGTGCTTACATTACATATATATATATATATATATATAAATTTAAGCACAAATGATAATGAAACTTCAAGTAGATACCTATGAGTATAACAAAAGCTAATTTGATGGAAAGTTACTTCCCATTCATAGCATTCTCCATATAAATATTAAAAGGCACCCAACAAGCCGACTGTCCAGAACCAAAATTGCAGCAAGAAATTGGCTTGCATGATCCTATATCCACCAACATTCCAATGAGCCAATGTTTCTTTAACTGGTACTCAAAACTTCAAATTCTCTTGATGTCGGCCAATAGTTAGGCCAAAATCTGGTTTGCAGATTTTAGACTCGGGCATGCCGACTTATTTACCTTAAGAAAGTGTAACCTTTGTAGGAGGCCATTGAATTTTCTGGTCTATCAATAAGGACATAAAACAAGACATGAGAATGATAGTTCAATTAGATCTATAAAAAACTTCAACGAAAAAATTTGAGAAGAATCATTATTGCCACAAAACAAGAATATAATAACAAGGTAATTGAGAGAAAAGATTATGACATTGAAGGCATACTAAATGAAGAATGATCATGCATACATGTTTAAATAAACAAGCCTAAGTAGAACCATAGCTCTTAAACTCTCTATTAGTTGACTTAAGACCTCTATACCCAAAAAAGAATTCTTCCATCTCATCTATTCAAGGTGTTTGTCTCTTTCAATATAATAAACTCCTTCAGTGTTTATGTCCAAAGGGTGATAATCCATGCTTTCAGTTCCAACCATTCCATTTTGGGCGTCTAAAGATGTCATTCGCAATCCCCAATCATCCAATGTACAGTCAATCAAGGCAATGACAATAATGGGGAAAAAAAAAAGGACAACTGCATGGCCAAGCTCCACAACCTGGGCTCTGTAATTCTAAGAAAGTTAAAGGGTAACATTAACAGAATCTACAATCCTATGAAACAACAGATGAAAGGTTAGCAAAAATCGTGCATGAGAATTTGGCTATGATCCCATATTAATTTAGCAAGCATGTCATGGAATTTTGTGCAATGCAGAGAACAAAAATCACAATCATAATTTTACAAGAGAAAATTGCCAATTTTTACAAATTCATTTAAAACTTAAAAACAATAAATTTACAACAAATTAGTCCAGAAGTCACTCACTTTTGTTTACAAGCATCAGGAATGGAAAGGTCAAATGATAATGCATATTGGTGGAAAAGCTCAACATAAAGCCTATATGCGTTTGGTTGAAAGTGTTGGTAAGGAATGACTCTAGGTTAAGAACAGTCATTTTAGGCGAAGCTTTGAGACTAAGCAATGATTTTTCTTAATTTGCATAAGTTATCTTTTAACTTGAAAATGAAAAAGCAAAAACCTATAAGTGAGTAAAGAGAGGACGTGTGGGGGTGGGAAAAGAACCCATGTTGTAGAAACTTCCAGAGCGATGGTTGATGGGTACGAAAGCAAAGATGGGAGACAAGCACCTACCCTCACTCAACGTTGGGCAGTCCCAGTCCATTGGAGACTACGCATTTCACCATCTCTGTCAGCCAAACCAACGGCGTGGTCTCCTCCCGCTCTTTCCACCGCTCAATCCTCTACTCCATCTCTTTTTCTATTTCCATCTCTAAACTTTCAACTCTCGGCTCTCAGGCTCAACTCCATGCCATGCCGTTCGTCATTCTTGATGAATTGGTGTCCTTGGACAAGTCAAAGTCATAAGGTGTTTGTTCCTATGAATTGATTAGTAAGTAGCAGTGGTGGTAGTAGATTTCCCATTCTCAGCTACCACCACCCCGCCATAACCCATGGTCGCCTATCTAACCCAACATCTATCTAATTCCATTTAATTGTACAAAATCAACTTTAAAATACCAATTGGATCCTCTAGAGCTCAACTTTTCATATAATTTCTAATTAGATTATATTAGAGGTTAAATTCATAATTATCATATATAATCTAACTAGATGACTCGAGTTCTGGTGAAATTAATTAACTCAAGACTTTATTGTAACTTTATCACTCCCATAGATCTTATTATTAGATCATTTTTGCAATTGATCTACCAAAAATTGAATTCACCTGTCAAGCTTTTTTTTAAAAAAAAAAAAAAACTAATGATAACTTTGATCTAATAAGTTTATGTTATGAAATCTCAAATCAAATAAATAAATGAGAGATTTTAGACTTATAAACATGAAGGTTTCATAATTCAATAGATTAATCTTTTGAAGAGAGAATAATAATTTTGAAACATTTACACGTAATTACAAACTATAATGTGTAGAGTTCAAATCCCTCCTCCCCCACAATCAATCCAAACTTTGTTTAAATGGTATTTAAAGCTATATATAACTTGGCTTTTCTACTATTTTTGGTGATTTTGTCATTTTGAAAGCTAATGTTTTGGACTGGAAAATGATTAGGAACATTGAGAGCAGTAAAACCATACCTTAGATGATGACTAAGGGAATTGGTAATAACAAGAATCAAAATTCATTGAGTTGTGTAATCCTTAGAAACTCTGTTCGGGGAAAGTACAAAAAGCTTATACCTGGAGTGGTACATAACCTCTTTAACTTCATCTTTGTATATAATCATGAAGTTTTTCATTTTTTTTTTATGTTATTATTGTACAGCTTTCTTCTTCTCAAATTCTAATTTCAATATGATGTAAAAATGCTTGCTCTAGCATGGGTAACCTTGTGCGATCCATTTTCATAAAGCAAAGTATTTACAATAACGTTATTTGTACTGTTTTTCAATATGGTTTTGCTTATAAAATTATGACATAGTATTTAAAGAAATCTCTTAATTATTTAAAAAAAATTTTAAAAAGTCTTTAAATTTTTATTGTTTTAAATATAATCTTATTTTCCTAACATATAACCTAATTGATCCAATAAGTCAATCATTTATACATGATGATCTGAGACATCAAGTAGATTGTTGTTCGGTTCAATTCTAGTAACTATGACTATGGTGATTTGATTCTACTAAGTATTACTACGGTTAGACTGGATGTTCAAAAGAAAATCATTTGTTAGTTAATGGAAAATCAAATTAAGAAAATTTCCCTAGCTAAAGCAAAACAACCCTGCACCTTTGTCGCTACAACAACCCCATGCTAACCCTCCACCATCCAATACCCATCATCAGCTAAACACCCACCACCGCCCTTGTCATCACATGTTACGACTGTAAGCAACACCAGTATCACCTTAACTATTGTTAAACAAATTCAAGATTTATGCCACTTAAGGCAAGACTACTGTAATCAGCTCTTATAAGTTCAAACTTTAACCAAATCCGATGTTATGCCACTTTAGGCAAAATTTGAGAATTGTCACTTGATATTTATATTAGAATCGAGAGTCGTGTATATAAGCTTTAAGGTTATAAATTTCGTCATTATCAAAGAACTTGATTTGAAGATTTAAGTATGAAGTAAAGAAGGAATCAAAACTTTTAATCTTATGTGGGATAACTTAACCTCTACTATTCCACTCAAGATCTACTTGATTAAGGATCAAAATAAAAAGCCACACAATTCCTTTACTTAGCATCTCATACAATTATGAACAAATAATTTCTCATGTTTTCACTTTTGCATCTAAAAATAAACAAGTAAACTAATGGTTTTTTTTTTTTATAATTGAGGTAAGGGAATTTGAACTCTACTCTTTAAATAAGAAAATAATACATCAACTAATGAGTTATATGTTCAAATACACCAATAATTTAACTCTCGAAATAATAAAAATTTCATATGTAAATAAGACAGTGGTCATTGAAACATCTGTATATCAACCTCATCTTTAATTAATTTTTGGCCCTTCTCCATTGACTTTGCAACATTAATTGCTTATCTTAATTGTTTGTTTTACTCGTTCAACGTCCACCATATCCTCATTCCAAAGTCCTGCAATAATAATTGTTTGAAGTTGGGTGATCTAAGCCCTTGACTGCAAGTAGAATTTATATGGAAGGCTTTTGCCCAACCTTCTCTTAGTTCTTTGGCAATAGGCATCCATGCATGATCTTCTTTTTCCCTTCTTTTGCATTGAGTTTGGAATAGCGATTCTCTTGGAAGAAGGACTACAAAGGACAAGAAAACTTTGTTAGCATATGGATTTTCATGATATACATGCCTACCTAAGAAAATAAGATTCTTTTAAACCCTTACATATATATATATATATATATATATAGGACAGTTGAGGTTTAATTGTATTAGGGTTTTTGTCCAATTGATGGGAAGAGCACTTTAATGTGCACACAGAGCAAACCAAGATGGACAGATTATTTATTCTTGTTTCGCTGACCTCTAATAAGACCAAAGGCAAATGGCAAAAATGAATTTTATATATTTATATATATTGCATTAATCCATGCAAGTACACACAAATGAAATATAAATGCCCTTAAAATTCCTTTTTATTGCATTAATCCAGCATTGTTCATAGGGATATTAAGCATTGTTCATATGAAGAGGAAAAAGGAACCTCTCATGTCAACTGTATGTGGTAGAATTTTACTAGTAGAATATAGAAAGAATAAGGTAACATCCATTACTGTGACCTTGGCTGTCGTCTCATGAAATTGGTGATAATATTATAGTAAAAAAATGTAAAGAAAGGTTGAAGAAAGAGGCAAAGGCTGCATGAATGTTGGGCCGTTGGATTTAGCAGACAGTAATTAATTATTGCCATGGAGAAAACAGATGAATTCATTTACTGCTTTCCAACTACCCACCTTACCTCGGTTATTTAACCCCATTCACGAACCAAATTGATTCTCGACCCCTAAACTCACTGCCCTTTTCTTTCTTTCTTTCTCTCTTCAGAGAAGTATGGCAAACTTGTGGATGTTTTGTCTGCTTGTTGTTTCAGGTTTAGCTATGGCGTTCAACGTAGTTTCAGGCCAAGGAGAAGACCCTTTCGGGCCAGATGGTGGGAGGAGAAGAGAAATGGTGCCTGCCATGTTCGTATTTGGAGACTCTCTCATCGACAATGGCAATAACAATGACCTTCCTTCTTTTGCCAAGGCCAACTATTTCCCTTATGGCATTGACTTCCATGGCGGGCCTACCGGTCGTTTCTCCAATGGTTATACCATGGTTGACGAAATAGGTCTATAGCTTAGATCTCTCATTGTCTTTTCACCTTTCTTTTTCCATTGATATATAGTAGCTCTCACTAACTGAACAGCATGCACATGCAGCTGAACTGCTAGGACTTCCTTTGATTCCTGCATACTCTGAAGCTTCTGGTGATCAAGTGCTTCATGGTGTTAACTATGCCTCTGCAGCTGCTGGAATCCTTGACATCACAGGAAGAAACTTTGTAAGCACTAATTTCTCCATGGTTTTGCCAGATTCTAGTATTTTTAATCCATGCATGTTTACATTTCCATTTCTCAGAGGTGGACAGTGCTAGGTATTTAATAACCTTCTAATTTTCTAGACAAACCTGCCATGCTTTACAGTGCTTGAAAAATAAATCTAGTCTGCACCTCCATGCAGTCTTGCCGCTGAAGCCTTAAATGCATTTGACCTATGACTATGTATAAATTCGAACTGTTTTATAATAACAGATGATATGCCTATAATCAAAACTGTTAATTAATACAAAAATGAGCAAAAATAAGCTCTTTAAAACAACTTCCAGTATGGGCTTTAGGGCATGAGTTTATCTGTTGTGCATTGAATGAATTTAATTTGTACCCTTCTGCAGAAGGGGCATGGTACAAAACTTTTATGCATTCACAATAAATGATGACATGCAATACGAGTAAATGTCTTTAAAGCTACATGCAGAATAAAATTAAGGAATTGGTTTATTAATGGGGTGGTTGAGAGTAAAATTAAAGTTCTGAGTTCAAGTTTTGAGGAGTAAATACATAGGCTAGTTAAATCACAAACATTTTCCTACATTCATGTGGGTAACTTTTGTGTATTTTGCTTTGATCAGGTGAGCCGAATACCATTTGATCAACAGATAAGGAACTTCCAGAGCACCCTTGATCAGATTACAGGCAATCTTGGGGCAGTTGATGCAGCAGATGCAATTGCTCGGTGCATTTTCTTTGTTGGAATGGGCAGCAATGACTACCTTAACAACTACCTTATGCCCAATTACCCAACCCGGAATCAGTACAATGGCCAACAATTCGCTGATCTCTTGGTTCAACAATACAATCGGCAATTAAGGGTAAGATTTCATCCTGAAGCATTGGCCAGTTACCTGTTTCAGCCTGCTAACAACCCTTACGTACTTGATCTTAAAGAGAAAACCAGAATTCATTTGCTAGCTTTGTGATGTGCAGACACTTTACAATCTTGGAGCACGTAAGTTTGTACTAGCAGGGTTAGGACGAATGGGATGTATCCCAAGCATCCTTGCACAGAGCGCGGTTGGAAGCTGCTCGGAAGAAGTGAACCAGCTTGTTCTACCTTTCAATGCAAACGTGAAGACAATGATGAATAACCTTAATGCCAATCTACCTGGTGCAAGATTTATTTACATCGACATTGCTCACCTGTTTGAAGATATCGTCGCCAATTCTGGAACATATGGTAACTTGAAGTTTACTTTGGTCATAGAAATTGATATCATCACCTGTTTTTTCCTAACTTTTCCTTCACCATGCATGCAGGATTTAGTGTTGTAAACCGTGGGTGCTGTGGCATCGGAAGAAACAGAGGCCAGATTACCTGTCTTCCCTTCCAAACCCCATGTCCAAATAGAGACCAATACGTGTTTTGGGATGCATTCCATCCAACAGAAAAAGTGAACATCATAATGGCAA